AGGCAAAATACAGCTAATTCCACTAGCATATAATAGCTACACAAAACATAACAGCAACCTAAGTCACAACATAATGTCAATTCTGAAAAATCATGGTTTGTCAGCCTGAAATGAATTTTCTTTTTTATGGATTTTCACAAATAAATATTTACATATTTACATTTATAGAAGTTCTCTTGCCTGAACATAGTTAACTTTTTATGTTTTAAGTTCAATAAGGCAAAGAAAACTAATAATAAGTATATTTTAAAAAAGTACCTATTGTTAATACAATTTTTTTTAAGTATTTGTTACAACAGTCTGCCATAAAAAATATCAATTCTGATAAAAATTTAAACAATATTCCACAGTTCTAAATGCAATTCAAATATAGAAAATGTGCGGGCCGAGCGAGTGGTGGTTGGTGCTCGACGGGCGGCACGTTCGCCATTTTACGTAGCGTTTTTACGATGTACCCGATAACGTTTACGAGGCGCGTTGAGTGGCGTCGCCGCGGCTCGCCCCGACTGATTGCATGCGAGGGCACCACGTGATAGGGCTTGTTTTATACATTTATAAAATTTTATTGATAACATTTTGATTCTCTTACAATAAATACAGTTATACATAGTAAAATGTCACAGATATAAGTATACCCGCAAAATCGTTAATGAATATTAAAAGAGTCTCAGGATATTGGCATTACAATAAGTACTTATTGCCCTTGTGGTAATCTCACACCTAGAGTTAACATGGGTTTATTTACAGAACCTACTACCTCACGGATCAGGTGACGGAGTGGGTGCGTCAGCCCGGCTATGTAACCTTGTCGCAGCCAGGCAATTTAAGATATGTAATACCTACTATGTGCTCTCGTTATTACCCTTACAAATATACAATTACATGTCATGACATGGCGAAAGTTTAAAAGTTAATTGCAATAATTTAGATCAAAAAATATATCTAAGACTATCGCAATGTGTTGTTTGTTAATAAGTCTCCTTAAAGTCGATATCGATATTTTGGATCCTTCGCCACATCCTTACCAGGGTCGGGTATCCGTGACACATCGTGTAGTGTAGCCGACGACATCGCGCGGCGTATTTTATGCGTCCCGTCGCGTTGCCCCGACCGCATCCGAGCGAGGCCGACATTGGCCGAAGGGTTCCCACAAAGCAAGAATGTTGCCTTGTTTTTATGAATTTACTTTTTATATTTTGCACATATGTAATTCACTTAAGATTTCCTTTTGAAGCCATACAAATGACACAGTCTCAAGATCTTTTTCGAATAGCGCTTTTTTAAACTTTTTTAATTCAAAAAACAAAAAAGTATAGGTATTTAATTATTCTTGTAATGATAATTATTGCTAAATTAACTGTAGTAACTGACTGTAAAATCTGTCAGCGGCAAAATCTAGTTTCACAATACAAAAAATATTCTAAATATAAAATAGAATTCTTTGACGGATTCTTTTTTAACAGCTCAATTATCATATCGCCACTTAACGTTTATTTGTTTCGATGAATCCTTTCCTTAAAATAACAAGGCTTATGTTAAAATTTTAAAATTCAAAAATGTCTAATTTCAAATGCCATCCCTAACGCCGACCGCTCCCGACCTCTCACAAGTCCGCACGAATGACTGCCCCGAACGAACGAACACAGCCCCACGAATTATAATGAGATAATGTTTTTTTCAACTGATATAATTTATGTTCCAGTGTTGATGACTGTTTCAATGAGAGCTAGCAACCGAGGTGTTGGTACAGTGTCACATTTGATAGAATAATAATTAAGGAAAAATAACCGTAACCAAGAAAAATTAAAGTTTAATATCCTATACCATAACTGTATCATTGCATAGTATATAGTTATTGAGTTGTTTTACCACTACAAATAAATATATTCCCATTTGTGGATATAAAACACAAATGGGACTAGGTATATTTTATGAGTAAATTCAAGATTGCAACTACTGTATTCCTATTCCATCTGTTAAACCAAGTGTTTAGCTGTATATTTTTTTTGGTAACTGGCTTAGACAAGCTAGCTTTTGTTGTAAAGAGAAAATTACAAAATAAATAAAAACTAAATGCGTATAGCGGAGTGGGCAGTCTCTAGATTCCTAGTAACTGAAGGCCAATTCTCGTAATAAAAGTTAAATCAAAATTCAGTTACGTTCAACTCTCGATCTCGCAACTGTCATAAAACGTGTTTTCGTAGTAAAATAGTAAAGTATTACTAATACTAGCAGATTACCGATTCAATTATCGGTTACAATACGATATAATCACATTTACAGTCTACGTAGGATGTTTATTAGGTACTTTACTACGAAAACACCTTTTATGACGGTTGTCGGATCAAGAATTGATCGGAACTGAATTGTGACCATATTTTTATTACAAGAATTGGGCAGCTGGTTTTTCGTTCCTACAAAACTACCATTGTATGCGTTTGTATATTAGTGGCAAGGAATTTGTATCAACCACGTTTTTTGACACAGGACATCTGGGCATCTCTAACAGACAACCTTTTCAGGCAGGATGATTAAGACAATTATAGAATAGTGTTGCCAGACTTCCACGTGGAGCATAGAGCACAAGAATATTAAGTTTCTTTGTGACTCGCCGAGTGTCACGTTCGGCATATTCTCTTGACTCGTTGTTTTGTTTATGCGAAAGTACATATTTTTTCCTTCTGATGCTTCTGGTTCAGTATCTTTTTTATAGGTAGAAATGACGTTGATTATTGCATAATATAAATGTGTAAATTTATTTTTCAATGCCCCTAATGCCATGATTGCAAACTAGGGGATAATGTATAACATCGTTTCGGCCGGCACCCCTCCTTGTGACGATAACTACTTTATTTTTCTATCGAATTACTGTAAAGTTTATTTACTCGTGTGTCTCGTCTATTAGCAAATAATACTTTGAAAAAAACCATCTACCTCTACTTCTTCAATCTTACCATCGTCATTCCTTATTCTTTGTTCAATGCATTGTGTTGCGAGACGCTTAAGTTATGATATGGCCATCATCTCAAGCTTGTATAGCAGCATACATGTCGCACCTTTATCCATCTTACCATCGCCTATAAAAAGGTGACTTGCTTAGACTACGTCCTTAATTTTAGCGATGGTAAAGCGAGAGCGAGCCTACATACAACAATACACAGAAAACGACATCGAGTGTGCTATTCTCTAAGGAAACAGCCTTGCGTACAGCGCTGCCACAGCGTCGAACTTCAAACTAACTTAGTTTAAAATTCGACGCTGTGACAGCGCTGTAGCGTCAAATTTTAAACGAACTCAGATTAGTCGTGGAAAGAGTGCTTGTTTACCTCATCAGCAATTATAACTAAACAAACGCAATTGAAAATAAATACAAGATCAATCTTTGAATCTGGCTTCTAACCCAATGAATCGAATACGATTATTAGTCAACCGGATACAATCATATACGCAGAAAATCTATTCAAATAGATGCATTTCTAAACAGTACTACTAAAATATACCCGCCTATACAGCATCAGAACACTGTAAACCGACTAAATGGCTTCCTATCGGGTAGTATTTTAGAACAATTGGTATCAGAATATTCTGTGTCAATATGGCGGTGACGCACACAGCGCTCTGTGCTTGATAGTCACTATTTAAACAGACAGAGGTATTAATTAATCTATGCCACTCTATGAGCATATAGCACAGATTACTAAACTGACTAGAATTAAAGATCTCTCTACGTAGATGCGGTTACATTATGGCGATATTATAAGGCTTGGTTCAACAGTCACTATTTGTGTTGTATGTCTTGTTATATCTAATGTATATCCCCCCTACTTCTAATTAGGTGTTAGGTAGGGTGTTTCTAAAATAAGTTCGTATGAGGTTAGGATTTACCGTAACACATCAGGATCCAAATAAATTAAAGAGTTACCCTAACAATTGACGAATACACGCAGGCTTTTAGAGCTCAAAGCTCACAGATAGCCTAAAACTCATTACGTGACGAGATTCTTTAGCATATACATCCGTAGCAATTTTAACTACTTCTTGTATTTACTTTTAACGAAAGACAGTGCTAAATATTGTATGATTATTTTGCAATTCTACACCAAAACTACCCATGAATTCGCCTGTTTGCAGTCGTTCTGTCCATCCAAAGGTTGTCTGTAAGAAATTGCTTTTTAGCTATAAGGCCGCAATTGAAACATCGCCGGAAACGAGTGATTTTTGGTGTACAATAAAGACTATTGTCTCGTACAATATTTGAATCAAACGTAAGTATTATAAATTACTTTTAACTTGAACATTTTTGCTAAAATATCATATAATCTCAGCAATTTCAACTAAAAGGTATAAAATGGACAGCCTGGTGATGTCGAATATGGCGATGGCGAATAATGATCCACAATCGAAGAATATTTGGCCGAGAGTGACAATAGTCGGCGGTTATAGAACTCAACTTGGAATTTCAAATTAACTTTAGCCCAATCGGTATCAGTCAGTATATATTAATGCAAATAATTTATATCTCTTTAGCGTAGTAGTATGTAGTGTCACTGAATTATAATAACTTAGGCAAATGATTGGCAAAGAATGTGTGAGTTCGACTCCGAGGGTATAAGATTGACACTGTAAAAGTGACATCGTAGTGTTAAAAAAATACAGCACAATTTTAAAGTTTTCATAAGGCTCATCCGCATGCGCAACTATTCGAGAACAAAAATATTTATTTAGCTTTCGTTGTAGGGGTGAATACGAATATAGTAATCTGAGTGACTGACTTTACCAGTACTAAGTAATCATGAGTTACATCCTCATAAAAATGATATGAAGAAGGCATGGATGTATGTCGCTTCATCGTAACATGAACATGTTCCAACATAAATCTCTCAATATAACAGTTATTCTAATATCGCACCAGTAATAAAATTTACGATGTGCGAACCTAAACTGGTAATAAACAAGGTAACTGTGGCGCAAAATGTTAACTTTTCAGTAGAGGTAACGACATGGCATTCGATATACTAAGTGAGAGTACTAGGTATACATGTGTATATAGAGGTGTTCGGAGCTCGTGGCGGGCGGTAGCGCCGTCGGTCGGATGTATAAAGTGGCGCGCCGGTGGCCGCATGACATAGCTATAACTCCGCGGTAGCATGACAAACAGCCGTCGAGGAAACCGTGGAGTTGAATCTGTTTCATGCATTTATAAATTTCTCGACTTTTTTCAAGTAAAACTTTATTACAAGCGTGCGCTTGACTAGCTGGTGAATACGTGACGAGAGCGTTACGAAAAGTGTGATCGGGCGAGGCAAACGGCAGTTGAGAGTTTGATATAAGTTAGTGAAGATAGAAAGAGAGTTACGTTTCGTATATTACTGTAGGGGCAAGAGAGTGAGGTACGAGCACATTTTCTTTCTCTCGTTCTCTCATAGCCAAGAAGTTTTACTTCAGTCGTGTTGTCTAAAGGTCCCTCGTTATTTTTTACAAGACTGATGAAGTCTTGTAACTTAGGTTAGTAGTATTGTAAGGAGAATTATAGATGCGATTAAAAATTGTTATTCGTGTAAATATCTTATAGCATGGTAGCGGAGAGAATTATTGCTGGCATTTTATTACATAAAATATATTATTTCATCGAGATACTTTAAAATAAAAAATTAAATGTATACACAAATGTGAGGCATACATTATGTATATGGTAGTTATTTTATCGAAGTCCACATATAAACATATTCCTAGTAAACCAAAACTAAAAAAATAAAATTATCTAGCATCGTTTCGACTCCGCGCTCACTGAGTGCGCGCTCGACACCGGAGGGCGCCGTCGCTAAAGCGCGATACTACGGGCTCGCCTCGGGCGGCGCGAACCAATTACCCGCCGCCGCCGAGCGGGCATTTACCCCCCTCCGTCTCTCCCCACTTCACACACCCGGCCGCCTCGTTCACGACGCGCCGCAGAATTACTTATCTCCTCGCACCGCTGTTGCCCTGGTACTCTGCCGCCAGCCGTACGCCCGCAATGCGAATGCGCCGCAGCTTTTTGTCGCACGATCTCACCAAGCATAATGTGCGTACCTACCTACCCCTTTTCCCATATGCCAAGCGTATTATATAGGTGTAGTGGTAGTATATATAGACTATATATATGTTCCTAGAGACATATTAAGCAAAGAAATGTATGCAATAAATGAACTACGAGCATAAGTCGTTCATTTTCAGCGATAATATTGTGATAGAAATTATTATCGCCGTTCCTTAAGCACGTACTTATTAATGAAGTCTTTGTTACTTCCGTAGCAATAGTGCATTAATATGACCACTTGAACTTGAAGTGTTTAAAAGATAAGCGGTAAGGCCGTTATTGTGGCGAACTGATTACGTTTTAAAACCTGTGCATTGCCACACATACTTATACAACGTTATCTAATACCGGTATAAAGTTTTAAACGCAGTAACTGCAAAAGAGTCGCATAAAGAGTAGGTATTAAAAACTGAGGTGTGTAGTAATTTGTAGTTCAATTGAAAATCTGACTTATTGCAGTAACAAAAAATGTGGAACTTTAAAATTATCCTAAACTATTTATATGTAAAGTAAATATTGGGCATCCAACCGGCCGATACGGTAATCACTCGTTTAATAAACTAAAAAGTGTTTCAGTTTCACACCCAACATTGTAAATAAAATATTGATACATTTTCAATACGAACTTTTCATTTCCGCAGCACTCTAAAGCCCGAATTTAAATATTTAATACCAGAATATGTTTCACTTAATGTCGACTACATTTATTTACTCCATTGCACTAGTTCATAAAATATTTTGTTCAGGTGATTTTTTTAAACTAAGTACGGAGGTTCTTTAGTGTTCAACATATTCTCTGAACTTACGCCATATTAAGACGATTAGTATGTATTCTAAGTTATGAAAAGCCAAAACAACGCCTTAAACTATATCTATCCTAAATATATCTCAAAATCAATATTTTTTAAGTTTATTATTCTAACAATAAAGTAAATTAGTACGGACAGGTATTTTTTGGTAATGACGAAATTATTTACCTAAAACAAAAGTTATTAATATTAATACTGGGATCACATTCAGTTAAATTCACAAAAAGTGGCTTTGTCGCTATGCTGCTATAAAGATGAGAGGAATAAAAATGTGCATATCGTCAATGGATATAATATAAACAATTAAGTACATAGTACAAGCTCTGCTTAGTTTGAAACTAGATGGCGTTGTGTGCTAAATGTCCGAAAATATTATTATTAAGTATGTAGCGCACAAACGCTTAGTTACATAGACTAATCGTTTGTGCTCTTCTACGATTAGAATTGAGTTGAGACGATTGAATATTTCTTTAATTATAGCAGAAGAGGTCCATTGCTTTAGTTAGGGTCTCTCTGGATGGGCCGCTGGAATTTTTTAATTTAGATGATATAGTTACACACACAGACAACGCACATTACAGTTAAAAGTTTAAATACACAGATATGTATACAGCTATTTAACGTAGACTTAGAGGGGGAAATATGGTCGTCTATGCCTCCAATACGTATCCAATTCACTTACAAAGCGCTTTCATTTATTTACCCGTTAATCACTGAAGTAATTTCTATGTGTATACTGGTGAGTTTACAACTCAAAAACTACAAAATCGATCAAAAACGTTCTAGGTTACTAGCTATACTACCGATAATGATTATGTAATAAATCATCGATAGATTCTCATTTTTTATGGTATTTGGCAAACGAGCGAATGGGCACCTGATGGTAAATGACTACCACCGCCCATGGACACCTTTTTTTTAAGGGGGATAGATAGAAATACTTTAATATCAAATACCTTACGTTTAAATCAAAATGGTCGGACGGGAGTTCTACTCTTCCAGTGAAAACGATTTCGTTCATCGATAGATGTAAATAAAATAAGATGTACGACGATGATGCACAAAACGTGAGGGTCCTAATTAGGACCATTTCAAGTGAGCGCACTATTCTAGAAAATTCATAAAATGCCTTCCTGTGTATTCCAAAACTGCACAAATTACGACACAAAGGTAAATAAAGATAAAGGAATATTATATCATTGGTAAATGTGTTTTGTTCTAAAATGCATTCATAGATGTGTGTACGGTTACGGAACAAATATTATCTGCGTGCAGTATGAATATAACGTATCTGCCTTAAAATTATCATTGGAAAACTGACTAACTTTTTTTATGATAGTTATCCGATAAACATAAGGTTCTAAAATTCCTAACTGGGTTTATCTTCACGCGGTCACCTTAATGTAAACTCGTAACTTACCTAACTAGCGTGATAAATTCAAGGATTGAAAACTACGTCCAATGTGTTTGGTGTAAACATAATGTTACTACAAACGTCTGACCTATGGTGAAAGCAAAGATTTACCAATTAATATTAATAAAATTCCCTAACGTTTATTTCATTTATTTTTATCAGGCAAGTTTTAAGTTTTAGCACAGAGACAAAGTAAATGTTGAATAAATAGACATATTAACTACCGACGTTTTCTATGTAAGTAATGTGTATATGTAATGTAAGTTGTATTTATCTATGTAATTTGGAATCTTAATCCCTTAATATTTCACCCTTACAATTACCCTTCGAAAATTCAAATGGAATATATTATAATAGTAATAGTTCACAATATAGTGGTCACAAATGAGATGAAAACATCATTTTTTAAAGTCATATTATACAAAATTTGGATATTCGTTTTAAAATTCATTTACCATAGGTTATTAAAGTGTCGCGAAGCTTAAAGCAGCGAAGGCCTGAAAGCATTCCCGAACGAAGCTGGCCGGGCTGTGTGAAGTTGCTCGCTCTTTCAACGTTGCCTATTCGTCCGAGAATCTCAGCGAGTTCTCGCAGAGAATGTAGTATACATTAATATTTTGTTGAGAAACCCAAGCTAGGGGTGCCACAAGTAGACCTGTGGATATAGTTTAGGTAAAAATAAATAAAAGAAGGTTGTATTGCTCACTATTGCGGTTTTGTGTTCCTATAGTTTTTTAATGCCCTTAATAGATACATAGGCGGTGGTAAATTGGCGGCCTTTTTTTTTGTGTGTTAACGACCTATGACGCCCTGTGTGTAGATAAGTTAACATTTTAAGGGGTACCTTAAAATTCTCTTCTCTGCCTTAGGACATGCCGATCACTTTCAGTTCTTATTCCGTTAAAATGATGTATCGGTTAAAAGTTGTAACAAAACAACAATAGTGCAGAGCACAAATATTAAGTTCTCATCCGAGTTTAGATTGATACAAGGGTCACAATGATGGTTAGCCATGTCAAATGCAATCTCGGTGATCAGTAACCCTACACAATACACGCACAGCCCGTCAAAGCTCGGGCTGAGAACCAACACGTAGACACATGGTTATCTATATTCTTACGCCGCGCGTCAGTAAAGCGCACCCGCCTGCTCGCCTGTTGCAGGGTTACCACACAGAAAAAATATTTTTTCTAAATAATAATTTTGAGTGAGACTTTATTCAAAATAATTTATGCCTCGTAAAGGTAGGTCCTTTGGCGATTAATGTTAACTTAACGTATCGTGTAGTGCTAAGTAAACATTGTTATACTTTGGTTAACATTCCGTTAAAGAAAAGTGTTGAAACATAATAAAAATCCCTTAAAGTGCTAAAAAGCTACTTGAAGTAATTTTAGGGAAGATTTTCTTGAAGCAGCAGTAACAATAGCAGGACATCAGAAAAGTTGAAGAGGTCACAATCGAGTAGAACTGTTTTAAGTATTTAGGCCAAAAAAGTCACTCACGAAAACTCTTGGCACGCAAACCTAAGTGTTTAGGTGCCAAGTACTGGTCACAGTATCTACCCCACTCACGTATCACGATATCACAAATCTTGCATTTAACATGGAGCCACATCGCTTATCGTAGTTTTTGCCGCGTCTGTGTCAAGTCGCGCCTGTTTGTTGTCTCGCGCTACTCCCGAGATATAGGGCTGCCAGACAAACCAATTCAATTGAATATCTCAATAAACGATTTGGCACCAATATGAAAATTACTTGTCAAACATTCTCTCACTGAAATCTCTATATAAACCAGTTTTTTTATGGATTCGTTTTATTCTAATCACGGGTGGGGAACCTATTACATATATGTGTAAGTATGTACGTTTTATGTAGCTTTAAAGAATTATGAACTTAAGCAATAGTATAGTGAATTTACACAAATTAACAAGACAATATACTATGTGATAGACATAGTATATTGTCTTGTTAATTTTAATTATCCGATACTTACAAAATGAATATTTGTAACAAAATAATACAACAACTTACATATATATATATAATAGAATAAAATTAGAATAGAATAATATTCTAAAGTTAATTAATGAAATCTCGAATTATTTAGTGTCCTGTTCTGGGGGACATCACAATCAAAAGTTATGTTGTATTATCTATGGCGAAAGTTAACATGCAGAAAAGTCGGTGTGTGACAGTACTAGTAGTATAATGCTGTTACACATTGAATACCTAAGTGTTAAAAGTGGCGACTTACTATAATTTCATTTATTATTAAAGTAATCGATGTATATGTTTCCTAATAAAATCTTCATATTGCTAATTAAACTTCGACCAAAAATCCTTCCATATACGAAAACTTACAGAATGCTGTGACCTGAAAGTCCCTGTTTAGTAATAAATAAATCACCGCACAAATAAAACAACAACTTAACTCCAACCTCAACTTGTACTGAACTTAAAAAGATATAACATCGACGAGGGAGTCCAAAAATACATCTACCTCGCTTTGGCCAACCCTAGCTATAATTTACGACTGAGGCCGCGTCGGCCCGTCGTCGGGCGCAAGCCGGGCCCAATTTATAACGTAATTTTTACAATGGCCCGTCGACCTATGCCGGCCGCCGGGATTATACAGTACTTGACCGTTGCATTGAGAGTAACGTATTGTGCACTGCAGTATGTAAGGGAGCTCTTTATTCTATATGGCGCCCTGGTAACTGAAGCGAGTTGGTAAGGCCTATTTTTCAGGATATTCACAATGA